TGACCTGAGTGGTTTTCAGCCAGTTTGTAGTAGGTGGTAGTTCAGCCTTTGTATTTGCAAGCAGCAGAATATGCTTAACTTGCAGGCAGCTTTGCAGTGGCATCAGCAAGTCCTGTGTAATTTCCTGCAAAAAAAATTCCCAAACAGATCTCAGATCATGTATCAGAAAGTACTGCTATACGTGTTCATGTTCCCTGACATAAGCCTTTATACCTTTGGGATCTTAATAGTTAATCTACCTGAGTGAATAGGAAGGAGCATTTTTGCTTTCAATAAACTTTGATTCCTGGAGGCAGATCTTTTTTTTTTCAGTGTGTGTCAGATAATTTGAAGGTTGGGGTGAGGCAGGAAACAACGACACGCCTTTGTTGGGACTTGTATAAGAGCTCAGGAATAGAAAAGTAAAAGAAGGGCAAGAATAAAACTGGAGAAATAAAGAAGAGGTGAACATTTCTGGATGATCACTCAGGTTCCAAACACCTTTGGAAGGACATGATATAAAGTGTAGGTGGCAAATTTTTGGTAGAAGGGAAGCAGTTGAAGAGAAAAAAAGATTTTCATTTCAATAACCAAAGCACTCCAGGTAAGTTACATTACTTTAAAAAAAAAGGCAGAAAAAGGTTTACTTTATTTTCTGTATTCCAGATTCCTTTAAGAACAAGGTTGACTTTGCAGGCAGGATAAAGCAGGTGTTACATTTTTCTATGGGGAATACAATATAAAAACAAGTTTGCTTAAGGGCTGGATCATTTTGGATTTCTGTTTGTCAGTGAATACTACTCGTTTGAAGTGAGTATCCATTGAGAAGTATTTACCAGCTGGGAGAAACGAAATGTGAAGCCAAGTTATGGGTACATTTTTAATGTACCCATAACTTTTGTGAAACGACTGCAAAATCGATGAAGTTTAGCTAAATTTTTCTGTTCCATAAGCGTATTGGCATGGTGAAATGCAGATCATCTGTTGGCTGTTTTTAAAAGTGAGCAGAGCTGGAATATGCTGAAGGAGTAGTGATTGTAAATTGGAGCTTCAGATGTTGGGTGCAGAGTGTAATATTAAGGAATAAATCTCTTGTTGTGAGAATGCCTAAAACTGCTTCTGAGTGAAAGTTTGCGTTGCCATGGACAAACTGCTTTGTCTCAAAGAAGTGAGTTTGTTATCAGCAGTGACTCATTGATCATGTATTTTGTGCTGTATTTTTTTCATAGAAGATTATGAGGTGTTTTGGTCACAGCAAGTCAGAAGACTGTGATTTGAGAATCAGTTTGAATCCTTTCTACAGCAAGTCCAGCAATTTGACCATAGTGGCATAAAGTAAAATACATGCCTTTTCCTGTTTGTAGACTGACTTGAGTGACTTTAGAGAAGGTACTTTTCCATGAGTAGTTGCTTCATTAGTGAAATGGTGACAGCAGATCTTTCCCATTCTGCAAACACTTTTTCAATCATATCAGATTGTTTGTCTCCTTTTCTGTGCCAGAACCAAGAAGTTTGTGCCGGTCAGAACAGCCTATTTCTTTTTGAATAGCATAGTTGAGATGGGGAGGACATATTTTTGAAAGGAAGGTGTCTGGCAGAGCAGAATGAAGTCTGGGCAGTGCTGTTGCTTGTGCTCTGAGATTTGAGCACATATTGGTATCAAAGAAGCTGGGACAGGCTGTAGGCAGGGAAGAGTTTGGTTCCTACAGCATATACAAGCTCTGGCTGGGCATATAACCTGCTTTCCTGACATTTGCATAATTTCAGCCTACAAAATGAGCAGATTTTGAAATATGATTTGGTTTATTCAGTTCTGACTGTGTTGGTTTTGATAAAGTGACTTGAAAGTAACAGCTTTTAGAGCCGAATTAGAAGATCAAATTCTTAGTCTGCGGGATCAAAAGAAATAAGGGATCATTTTTTAACCAGTTCTTTTAGTTTCAGGCCAGTGGCAGCTGAAAGGCTTGGTTAAGAGGAAGGGGCACCTAAAACACAGGTAATATGATGGGAGGTATAGTCAGTGGTATCATTTGGAGACATCTGCTGAGTGTCAGAGCATTCATGATCAAAAGATTCTGCTGACATTAAATATTATTAATCTCAGCACCTGCAGGTGCCTCTTTCTCCTAATGGAGTGTCTCACAGCAGGAATCTCTGGAGAGAGAAGAGAGCTAAAAGGATGTGCTGTGAGTGCAACAACATTGTGAGATGAAAACTGGGAGAACATTGTGGAGGGATAAAAGTATCTGAAATGTGCTTGCTTTTATTTTTCCACCAAAGGACACCCTTAGGGCTATTCTAATCTCCTTCGAAAAATACCAGTAAAAAACTTTATTACCATTGCATACAATACCTAGATTCTAAAATGGTAAGAGGGGATTAAATGTCCCATCTCAGAGTGGTTTAGTGTCCTTTCCAGTATTGCACTGCAGTGAAGTGGAACAGGGGATGCAAGAGTTACCCTGCATTGTCAGACTTTTGTGGAAAGCACAGATCAAGCACAGTGCTGGGCAGTTTTATGATCCTTCAGCTTTCAGTGCTGTACAGAGAAGAAGCAGCCTGCGCAAGTGTGGCAGTACCACGCCTCTCCTGATTCCTAGTGCCAATAATGGCTGCAAGTTCTCAGTTTCTGTGGGTACCACAAGCACACTACAGCCCCTGAGTTATGTAGAATGGACCATAGTGTTGCTGTCTTACCTTTCTGCACTGTTTGAGTGACCCCACTTCACAAGCTGCTGCTTGTTGCTCCAAGATGACTGCAAATGACTTCTCTGATTCAACCACACTGTGGCTGTGCCACAGACATACCCCACAGCTATGCCTTTGTGACTGCAGATAGGAGCTGGGGAGATGAGTCAGGCCTGGCAGGTAATGGAAATGCAGCTCAGTCAGCCTGTTGGCATCCATGTACCAAGCACACATATAGAGGCACTGTGTGCTGGGACATGGCTCCAGAGATGGACTTTAACTTTTTTTTTTTTTTTTCCTAATTGATATTACAGCAAGATACTTCCCTTTCTCAAGGGAAGATGCATTCACTCCGTGGTGGTGCTAGCCTCTTCCAGCACCCCTAAGCAGCACCACCTCCCTATGGCAGAGAGAAAGTGGAGTTCTACAAAGTAGTAGGAAAGCAGTTTCCAAATACAATTAGTGCTCCTTGCCAAAAACACTGATAAAGCCAACAGTGCTGACATCTAGACAACAGCTTCCAGCATCTGTTTTTAGGGAGAGAGCTTGAAAGACACTTCCACTGTTGATGCAGTAAGAAGAGTTGCAGAGATAGTGCCTTTCATTGAAGTGAATGACCAGAAACTCTTGTGTTGCAGGGGACTGTTACCCTGCTGGAGGAGGAACTCTCCTAATGCATGTAACTCGAGTCTTGCTTGTATGTTGGAATCAACACCCTGGAAAATCCCTTGGAAATCCCTAATGTTAGCGAGCATTGTAAGGGTTGAACAGCATCCTGCTGCTAACAGGCTGTGTAAGGGTTGCATGTGGCCTCAGGAGCTCCACTTTCAGGGCAGCTTAGACAAGCTCAGGGTCAGCAGTGCAGAGTGAGGGCTGTGGGCACTGTGGTGTTCTCTGCAAAGTGCAGATGAGTCTGTCATGGGGGCTAAAGTGGCATGCCTAGCACTGTGCCTTCTCCACTCAAATTGCTCCTGTCTAGCACTGGGAAAAGCAGGAGCTGGTTAAAAACAGAATTAGTCTGAATGTTGGATATTCCTGCAGATTCTCTGATGTATCTTGCCTTGTGTCACTGTTTATACCTGGGCAGTGCAAGTGTAACATGAAGGGGGCTGCAGTTTACAGAAGAGGAAAAGGAATCATGAGAATCAAACTCAAATTTAACGGAACTGGGGGACGTGGTCCTGGGTTCTCCACCAAGCTGGGCTTTAAAACTTGGAAGGGATTTTGCCCAAAGCTTTTTTAAGACTCAGCATCTTAAATGTGTTGGTTTTGGTACAGCTGGGCCTTCAGTTTAAAGGTGAAGACTTCAAATCCAGTGAAAAGTTTTGGCCTATGGTGAGCTTGTGTGTAAATTAAAATCTCTTCTTCTCATTGTCTGTGGCTGCACAAGATGAAATGTTATATTAGCAAGACTAGGAGTGAGCAATTGTGTGGTTCCTTCTGACAGAAGTGTTTTCTCTTCTAGATGATGTCTCTTTTCCACAATCATGTCTTTTTGTGGTATTCCTGCCTTGGAAGACAGTCATACCTCTGGTAGAGATTATAATTTTGACTAGAGAGGGATCCAAGTAATGAAAAAGAATGTTCACAGCATCCACAGTATCAATTCCAGCACTGTGTAGACTGACCTGGTGTTAAAGTAGATAAGATTCCAAAGCCACAGACCGGGTCTCCAAACTGTTGCTGCACTACCTGTAAAGCAAAGTAAAGGTTAAGCTCCTTGCTGTCAAAAATTGCTAGTTCAAAGGTACCCCAGTAGTTTTTCTGCTTTGCTGAAGTCAGTGCTGTGGCTTTAGCATCGGTGTACCCTGAGAATGCACTATTACTGTTAGCAGTATTTCTGCTGAGATTTTTCTGGCAGTGCTGGCAGGGCGCAGGGAGCCCTGCAGCTCTGCCTGCACAGTTAATCCTGCACTGTTGAGTCTTGCCCAGAGCAGATGTGTGGGAGTAGTGTTTTGATCCACTGGTTTTCATCAAACCTTTATAGGGACACAGCTGGAGACCATAGTATAGTGTAGTCTGGATATAAATCCAGGTCTAAACTCTATCACTGTGTGGATTTGCTTCAACTGCCTCTGTCTCACCTGTTGGCTTTACAGCCCCTCCTGGTGTTTCAGCTCTGCTGCCTTGTGCAGCATCCAGTGTTGTAGGTGGCAGTCCATCAGTAGTATTCACATGGCTCTGGAAGGGCTCTGTAAATTCCCTGGTACAGACATCTTCCAGGCAGTCTGGTCCCCATGCAAAGCGAGCAGAGTGGTGGGACTTGTGGGGGGCTGTTGTCATTTCTTACTCTTCACAGAGCTCTGAGTGCAGTCCCTCTGTTTTCCTTGCAGGTGGCAATGATATGGATTCTGTAACAAAGAAAACGAGGCAGGATGGATCAGAAGTTACTGAAAGACGTAAGGAGGAGATTTTTCATTTTTATAGCACTTCCCAAAAATCCCAGAAATGGATGGCCATTTCTGTAAGGGATTAAATGTTGACCAGACGTCCAGACTAAATTCTGCTCCTGGCCCTGGTCTCTGTGTTGAAATCAGAATAAGGAATAGAATGGGCCAAGATCAGACATTTAGAGATGTGTATCATTACCTGATTGTTTAACCAGATGATTGCCCTGTGATAGCATTTCTAACGAGTAGTGCAGACACTGGGATTCTGCTCCTACCTCTGGTATCAATGCCCTGAGTGTCCTAGAAATTGTCTGGTGGCTTTGTGTAAAACTAGTTGATTTTCTGCTGACTTTATGAGAATTGACTAGTAGGAAGCTACTAGCATGGGCTTTGCTTTAGAGCAATGGCTGTGGTTCAGAAGTGCCCAGAAATTTTACAGGAATCTTGTACAGAAAAAAATCTTTCATGGCAGTAATATTCTTATTCAGATCTAGAAAGACCAGCAAAGAAACATAGCATTGTGTGATAATGAGCCTACAGCTACAGCCCCAGGCAGTGTTGTCTTAAGAGACTTTTATTTAAATGAGTCAATCTTTTTTGAACAAGTCATACTTTTGCATGGAGAATAGGTAGAACATTGATCCACTTTGGCTATATTAACATGCTATTAATTCTGCACCCTTTTCTTCCCTCAGTTATTACAGAGACTGTAACCACAAGACTGACATCCTTGCCACCCAGTAAGTGTTAGCCATTGCATTGCTTCTGCTTGGTGTTCTGTGCCTCTCCATGTTATTATTTGTCTGCATTGTTTCCATTATTTTCCCTGGGTACAGCAGATCTCAGTTCATAAAGATCTGCACCCAAAGGACAGCAATTTTCAGAAATGCCTTTCTCCCAGAAAACTTGTTACTGGGGAGGTGTAGCATTTGAGGACCTGTCTGGGTCAGAAACAAAGCCACATAGAAGACTAAGACTAGAAGACCAGACTCTGCAAAGATTTAAGTCCAGATATAGGTCTCCAGTGGTGACTGTCTGTTGGTAACAAGGATCAAAAGTGATGGGTTTGCAGGTTTCACTGCTGCAGCTGCAGTGTATTATTTCCATGTCATCTTACCCAGCTGGCAACAGTGGATGAATCTTTTCAGTAATACCAAAGGTCACAGGACATTTCTACCTCTGCAGAGAAGTACAAGCTCCAAATAGGGAAGAATCCTCCACACTCTTTATCCCAACATATCCTTGATTAGTTTGCTGCAGCTGAGTTGGCAAGGAAGTGCATTATCATCTCATTTATGATGAGGGTTAACAGGAGTATCCTTCAGTCTGTGTATGAAGCAAAACTTGTCTACAAACATGCTGGCTGTGGAGTGTGAATACATGTCTGCTCTGCCAAGACACTTCTCTGTACCTCTGATCTCTCACCAGATATAAAGCTGTACTTGTAAGTGTGTGGAGAACTTTGGGTCCCTCCTGCCTTCTCTTGTAGTGTCCTTGCTCTTCCTATCTCCTGCCTAGAGAGACTGTCTCATTTTGTGCTCATCTCTTTCAGAAGGAGGGAGCAGCAGTGGGCTCAAAACATCATCCCACACTGGAGGGAGTGGAGTGGAAAAGCGGTCGTACACCCATGGGAGCAGCTATGTGACCTCAAGTAAGGAAGGAAAGCATTGCCCAGTTGGAAACAGAGAGCAAAGGCAGCAGAAATGGTCTGAGGAGAGATTCAAGGCAGGGAAATAGTGTGAGCCAGGGGTAAGGAAAACAGGATTTATGAAAGTAGAAGTGCCAAATGCATACACAAAGCAAAGATATTCCTTCCCTAAAGCTGGGTCTGAGAATGGTTGAGTTAATGTCAAAGTCCCATTTTCCACAGAGAGAACTTAATTTCAGGAGAACAACAACAAAAAATATCATTCCTACTATTTTTGAGAAGTCATTCAGAAACTGAATTTCCTTTCTTTCAGGTTTTCCAAATCACAGTCTTTCTGACCATTCTTGTTCTAGAGACAGTTTTGATTAATCTTTTTGTTTATCTTGCTAAGGGTAGAATATTATTAAAGAAATTCCTAGAAAATATTTTCTTATATTTGTGTGCCCATGGCTTTAGCACTTCGAGCACTTTGCCAGATTTTCTGGATGTGTTAAATTAGTGTGTGCTGCCTACTCCATAAAACCAGGATTCTTCTTTAACAGCATTCTTTGCCCAGCTGTTAGATTGTCATACCAAAGACTTCTAAAGACTAAGCTTCCTAGCCAGGTACCTGGCACACTTCTCTGTCCCTACTGAGACTGACTGTACAACTCTCCTTATGGAAAACATTCTGTGCTCCAAGGGAGCTGACAAACAAAAGGGATGAAGTGCACTTTGGTGGGAGAGTTAGCTGTACCCTAAGATATCTGACAGGCACCTGCATGCCGGTTAAAGGCCAGAGTGTGGAATCACTTTGCCTCAGGGCACATGTGAAGTAACTCCACTGCAGATGTTGGTCTATTTGTCTGGACTGGCACCAGTGCTGCTGAACCCAGTCCTGCAAACTCAGAGGACCATGCAGGATTACTGTCTTACTTTTTTCAGTCTGTGGAAAAAGAGAAAAGAATCTGAACTTCAGATATACTGAGTTCTTGAAGTTTCACAGAGCATTCTGTAGTTTCTTCTTTCCCACTTTCTTGCAGAATGCCTCTAACAGAGGCCTACTTGGCACAGTAATTCTTTCTGCTGAATTAAATGGAAAAGTTACAGAACAAAATGAGTCCTTTTAGAGGGGAAGTTGGCACAAAAACACTCTTGCAATCAGAAGGACACACTTTTTGTAGGGATGGGTAAACAATATCCAGTTTGATCCTGCTAATCAGCATAGATAGGTTGCAGTTTATCACAGGACTCCCTTTGTGCTGCACCCTGATCATACTCCATCATTATATTTTGTACAAGACACAATAATTATGGCTGCTCTCAGTTCTTTCTCCACAGCACTGATGTGAATTAGAAGGGAAATTGTTTCTTCTGTTTACATATAACAGGTACTAATAATGTCCAGACTGTCTTGGGTCTGGCACATACCTCAATCACTTCTCCAGAAAATGGACTAAGTGGGAGTGTGGATACTTGCTTTATGGGAAAGTGGACTCATCTCTGCTTTCCATTATATCATAAACTGCATCCTTCAGCACACTGAGTTTGGTTTAACAGTGTCGCAGTTTTTGTAGCCTATGTCATGTAACACTTGAGTTTACAAGTGAATCTATGTCCTAACCAAAACTCAGCATCATCCAGAGCTAGATTTTTTCCTGCTCAGGGGAGATGGTTCACTATTGCCCTAGAACCTGGTTTCATGTATATCATTGACAAATATGTTTTGAAGCCATAGTGATAACCAATACTCCTCTCTGCCCTGAATGCTGAGGACAGCCAGAGTTAGATGCTGATATTGTTCTTGTCCATCTCTCAGTGTGAAACACCAGTGCAAATTTTTCCAGCTCATAATAAAGCACCCAGGGCATCCAGAATGTACTGCCAGGACTTCTCTTCCATTTGCTGATGGTGTTTTGTTTAACCATAGGTGGAAGTGGTAGATTGCATTCAACATCATCATCCTCCAGCTACAGACAAGCCCAGTCTCCCAGCTCTACTCTCACCAAATCACCTGGCTCAACATTTGAAAGAAAAACCTATGTCAACCGCCATGCAACATATGAAGGTATGACAGAACATTCCATAGAAGGGAGGCAATGTGCAGTGGAGGCAATCTGCAGTGCACTCTGAGGTCACATTAGTGCAGAATTGTCCCCATTCCCATTGTGGTTTTCCTAGGAAATAAACCATCAGGGACAGAATTTCATTATTAAGTCCTGCTTATCCTAAGAATAATGCTCATTCCTAAAAGGAGTTGTGGCATATACTTGTTGAAAGACATTAGCAGCTTTTTCATGTGAAACCTGAAAAGCTCTTTTTTTTTTTTTTTTTTTTTTTTTTTTTTTAAATGGAAATGTTTTCTGGGAGATTAAACAGTTGCCAGGAAGACACTTTTGAAAACTTTTAATGATCTTATACAAAGTATTAATGAACATCTTTCTGTTCTTTGCAGGGAGCTCCAGTGCCAACTCTTCTCCTGAATTTCCCAGAAAAGATTTTGGTACGTCCTTTTTAGAGCCGTTCCTCTGAACGTTATGGCAAGGTCATGTGAGTTGATGACCATAATGGCTTTTTGCACATTGCTGTGTCCTGATTTACCTATGCTACCTCTGTATTGGGGCATCATGCAGCTCCCTCAGAGGAGTTATTTGGGATTTACATTAACAGCTGAAAGTCAGGTCTCTGGCTGATCCTGTTCAAACAGAGGGTGGATACTGTGTATCTGCTACTCTCAGCTGCTTTTGTGATATTCCCTGTATAATATAGAACATGGACAGGAGAAGACAGACATGGGATACTTCATAGCATTCGCTTCACCCTTCCAGAATAGCTCGGAGAACAGCTGCAAGCAAGAAAGTCCAGACTCTTAGGATTTTGAGTAATTGCTGGATATACTTTTCCAGTAGCTCATTTCTAGACTTCATCAAGTATATATGGAAAAATGAAGTGGCTATCAAGTGATATATCTACACCAAACATTGTCAGCAGTTATTATCTTGCCCTGTCCAAACTCTGAGCTGCTGATTTTACTCAGTGAAGATAAGGAAACATTATGATCAGGTCTCCTTTTGGCTCATAGAGGAGGCAGGGTTTCACAATATCCAGCATTGGTCAGTAGGGTCAACAAGCCTCTTAACTTCCTTTTGGTCATTTGAAATGGGACATCACCATCTACAAACAACATTACTCTGTATAAAAAGAAACAGCATCTGGTCCTGAAAGGCTAAAGGTGTTACTGATTCTTTGGAATACCTTATGGTCTAAAGGGGGCCTGATAAAATCTCTTAATGGTTCAATTCTCCCAGCTGTACTCCAAGAAGAATTACTGTCTGAATATAAGCACCCTGAGTAAGATCAGTGTGCTGATTTTCAGAGATGCCACAGCCTGTAAAGACTATTACAGATTTTCTCTTATTATTGTTCACAGCATCTGCCTCTACGAGAGGGAGAAGCCAAAGTCGAGGTGAGTGACACTGTTCTTTGAGAAGCCTCCTTTTTTCAGTTCAGCATAATTCATGTGTGTTAAATAAACCTATTCTTTAGCTGGAATCCAGTTTAAGTGTAGAGCAGTCAGATGAGGTACGTGGATCTGCACAACTTCAGATGTGAACCATGAATCTGTAAGCAGTTGTTTAAACAAGTTAGGTGTAAAAATTTACTTTAGTGAATGCCATGGTAGCTTGGACTGTGTCAGAAAGAAGATATTATTGGAAACCTGGATGTCTGAGGGCACAGAACATAGTCTTCCAACTTGTCTGTTCACTACAATAACCTTAGTCCATCCATGCTCCGGGACCAGCCTCTGACATTTTCACAGTAATTGCATTCATCCTTCTCCTACTGTGATCTGTCTTGCAAACCATAAAGCAAACCCCTGAAATAATCTCATGCTAATAGTAAAGAGGTGGTGAGGAAATTTCAGACTTACTGTGGTCTGTAGCCAGCTCACTGTAAAGCGCTGCATTGTTTAAATCATTCAGTTCTTCTAATAATTTATTAACAGTTATAAGGGGAAAGAAGGATTATCTTGGTCTCCAAGAATGTAGTATCTGTTTCCAGTTGCTTGAAGAGGAAACTATAATGTCACTTTATTCAAGTTAATTTTAGCAGTAGTTATAAATCACAGCATGGTCTTGCACAGTCCTCCTGAGTGTCACATTCCCAATTATTCTGCCTCAGATCGTCATAGTCTCCTCTAGCACACTACATACCTGAGCTCCCAGCAGAGCTAGGCCATGCATAATAAAGTAGACACCAGAGAATCAGGTCCAGCTTCTCATATTACTTCAGAAAATAATTCCAATCCATCATCTTCTCCACATGAATGCCAAGATAGTATTTCTTTTCTAGTGCATGCACTGTCAGATTTCATCATGAGGAGCATGTATCACATGTTCTGGCTGGCCACTTTGCTTGTGGGAGGCAAGTTTAAAGGCTCACCCCAGCCAAATCACATTAACTTTGCAGTTTCTTGTGCTGGACAGTAAAGGTCCAGTAAAAGTAAGGTAATAGCAATTGAGTACCTGGTGAGAATGTTGACTGAAAACTGGACTGGTTACATTCAGTGAGCCAAAAGAGAAGTCAGTAACTAGCAAGAGACTGAATCATACATCCCACTGTAGAGATGTCAGTTGTACCCAAGAAGTAGTAGGGAATTTGTGTATTTAGTAAACTTCTTTTGGCTCTCTAATTTTTTTGTTCAGAAGGACAGTAAAAAATGATATTTGTGATGAGTGAGGACTGCATAATTAGACCTTCTGTATATCCAACAGTAGCAGCATTATTGACTTCAGCAGAGGCCATCAATGAGTGAAATATAATTCCCTGGAATTTAAAGTAACAAAATGTGACCCCAGAAAAAAAGTCACCCAGGCCTATTTGCTACCAATTCACATGGGCCTTGAGTACTGCTCAGATTAAACAGTCAGACAGCAAGCTGAAACAGACAGCAAGAAGGAAGGAACCCACTTCAGCCTGAAGTTTCATTCCCAGCCCAGGGCACAAAAGACTCTCTCTCCATATTCATGATCTGCTTTTTATCTTCCCAGAGAGTGAAATACGAGTCCGACTGCAGAGCGCATCTCCCTCTGGCAGATGTAAGTTATTCCAGGGGTATCAGGGATAAGGTAGAAGGTGTTGCTGCTAGGATTATGTCTTTTCCTGTTACGAACATTAATTTGAGTCCCTTTTCTGGACAAGGAAACATTCTGTGGGTTGGGTGGTGCTCTTGCAAATATGTAAAACGGTTCTCCCAAAAACATCCTCTGGAGCTTTGTCATTACGTGGCACTCCCAGAAAGTAACAGCTTCGTAAACATGCAGATAAATTCCACTGAATTATTTAGATCCAGAGCAAGATTACAGATCAATGAAACATGGCTTTTGGGTGACTCTGGACTTGCTTTTCCTGCTAGGGACGGAGTTGGATGATGTGAAACGTTTGCTGAAAGGAAGTCGATCTGCCAGCTGCAGCCCTACTCGGTCACCATCCGGTACACTCCCGATACCAAAAAAGGCTGTGGTGGAGACAAAGATGGTCACTGAGAGCTCTCAGTCAGGTACTTGGCACTAGCAATGTTGCAGTCATTCCAAACAGCATTTGCCATAAAAAGTACTCAGTTGTTAAGAACATGCAGATAAGAGTACATGGTGTTCCTGTACAGAAAAGGGGTCAGAATGCTGAAAAACTGTCCAGGTGTTGCTGTAACAAGAGCCATCTTGGGTATCTTTCTAGTGACTAGTCTAATTTCCAAAAAAATGAGTCCATTCTTTCTGCCACTAGTTTCAATTCAGAGGTATTTCTAGCAGAGATAAGAGCTCTAAGCAAATGTGTCTGAGAGCGATTTGATCCCTTATCTCCAAGTGAGACAGAGAGATAGGACTGAAGACAACATTTCAGTGAGTGATTTATTAGCCTTACTATTTGATAATGACTCATCAGGAACTGTACGAGAAGACAAGAGGGAATGGCTTCAAACTGAAAGAGGGAAGGCTTTGCTCAGATGTTAGGAAGAAATTCTTTACTTTGAGAGTGGTGAGGCACTGGCACAGGTTGCCCAGAGATGTTGTGGATGGCTCATCCCTGGAAGTGTTCCAGGCCAGAATGGATGAGACTTTCAGCAATTTGGTCTAGTGCAAGGTGTCCCTTCCTATGGCTGGAGGTTGGAACTAGATGATCTTTAAGGTCCCTTTAATCCCAAATCATTCTGTGATTCTATGATTCTGTGATTCTATAACTGAAGTGGTACTTAAAATACTACAACCTTTTTTAGTTATTTATACACCTCATGACAGGGTTTGAGGAAGTGGTATTGACATTGACTCCATTGTCTTCCATCAATATCTAAAACCAGTATCTTTTATCTTACTCAGAGTTCCAATCCTGTGTAAAACAGAATTTTAGTCTAGTACACTGGTGAACCAATCAGAGACATATGTGGGAAGCAAAAGCCATATATCCCATGGCCCAGGGTGATTTATTAATGGAATGGCAGACTGGGGTGGTTTATTGTGAATGATCATGCTATCAGGTCAATCTATACTCCATTGGTTAAAATTTGTGGGGGCTGTAATCAGCTGACATTTGGGGTCAGTTATACCATACTAACCTCGAGTCATTGGGTTGACTCTAATTGGTAATTGAAATGTAAGTTGTTTGCCCTATAAACCTGCAGTGCATGCTAAGCCACAAGCCTGGCCTTGTTGAAAGCCACTTCTGTCTGCTTGGTTTTTGCAGTGTCAGGGACATATGACACAACCATACTGAATACCGCCCTCCCTTCATACATGTGGTCCTCCACTTTGCCTGCTGGGTCTTCCCTTGGTGGATACCATAACAGCTCTTCCTTGATCAATGCCATGTCTCACTCTACAGGATCAGGTATGCTCACTGGATTGCCCAGGTTTGAAGGATGGAACTGTCCTAAAACTGGGTCAAAAGCAGGTTTTTTTGCACAGCACAAACTAAAATGATGAAATAATCAAAATGGCAAGGGATAGGCTTGAATTTTCTCTGGTTTTCTGTAATTTGGTGCTCTCTGCTTCTCCACTGAATGTATCTTAAAATCCTTCTTTGTGAGGATTTATTGTCCTGAATCTCGGACTGTCACTAAATTTTGATGACATCTTTATTAATGAGGTCTAGCTCACATTCTCTGTAAAAACTAGTTTAGACTCTAATATTGGATTATCCTGGCCCATTGTAAGAATGGCTCATATACTAAAAATGAGTACGTTTTGTGTCTTCTTACACCTGGTGAGGCCCATTTCTAAATGCCAGAGATTCTGCATTCCCTAGTTGCAGAGAAAAACCACAAGAAGCTTTATGATGGAATACTCTTTAAAGCTTTACTTTCTCTCACTGTCATACGATCTCATCTTGTCTGAGGTAGGACTTTTTTGCCTTTGTCAGTTCAATAAAAGAGTGGTTTGTTGTCACAATTGTCAAGATTTTTCCTCTGTGCAATTATTGTGCATTATCATTAGTTGCATTTCCAAGCTGACTCTTGATTTCTAGGACTATGCCACTGACCTTTGGATGTTAGATTTATGTTTTGAGAGGAGTAATACATTTCACTTCCTCTTTTTGCAGTTTTTGGTGTTCCAAATAACCTGGCTCCCAGCAATCATACTTTGAATGCGGGCCTCAGCTCTTCCTCTACAGGTCAGATTTTCCTTCCCTTCACACTTTGACAGCACTGCATTTCTGGCAGACAACTACAGTGAAATAATACCAATATAACAGTTTCTCTCCTACTCCTTATCTGAGTGTCGGCACCTCTTTGCCCCACCTGCAGAAATGTCCATGCAGCCATGAGACCTCACAATGTGACTCAATATAATGTTTTAAAATATTATTATCATCATTATTGTCCTGGGCCAACAATAACAATACAGCAAGGTGAACTAAGTTACAAAACATTTTGTTGTAAGGCCTGTGGTGCCTCCAGAAAGCTGGTGAAATTTGTTTGGAGAGGTCATTCTTTTTGTGTCACTGGTTTTGTTTGGGTTGTAGCCAGAATGCCACCTGCACTGCAGGACTCATATAACCCTCATTGCAATGCTTTTCTTTGCAGTATTTGGAGTTCAAAACAACCTGTCTCCAAGCTCTTCTTCTGCAACCCAGAATGCTACAGCAGCCTCTGCAGGTCAGCAGCAAAGTAAGCCTAGAGAAAGTGTGAGAGACCAAGTCTCCCACCTTTTCTGTAGTGACTAGAAGGTTCTTCTTGACAGAGGCCCCCTCATCACCTTCTTCTTGTGTAGCACAGTGTGGTACGAAGGGATATTGAGGAACATTTCCTCTGCTGTGCATGTGCAGGAACAGCTCCCAGTGCTGATGCACTAGAAATTTGCTTGCTGGGGAAACCCTTGGTTGTTTGAGTTGTCCAAGGAAAAAATGAAAAAAGATTTTTGAAATGATTGCTGTGTGAAGATCCCTTGTTATTCTTCATCTCTGTCATTGTTGAATTTCTTCTTTGCAGCATATGGGATGAAGAACACTTCTCAGAGCAACACCATGGCAAGTACTGGTGTGTCTGCCTCAGCAGGTGAGTGTGTCATTCACAGGTGTTTGGGCATGGCCTCGTACAGGCATATCATAAAAATGAGTTAGAGACTCAGTGAGTCACACTCAGATGCATAACTTGTCACTAGCCAGTACCTTCTGAAAAGAAAGAGAGTCAGAATCTAAGAACAAGCAAATGAACTAGTCTGATTCAGTTCTCTACAATCATTTGGATTGTTTAATTCTGAGCTATTTCTGCTCAGCGGGCAGGAAGCTGTATAGAAGAGCACACATGTGAAATTGTACTTCATTTGAAGCCAAAACATTTGCAATGTTGCTCGTAAAAATAATTTTTCAATTGTACCAGCTTCAACCACTCAAAAATGAAGGAATTTACTTATACATGATCAGAATACATTTTTTTAATGAGAGAAGCCCTTTGTCCTTGAACAGTCAGGATTCATCCTTTCCACCTCTTTTCTGCAACTCTGAGAGTTATAAATTACACTTTTTTCTGTGTATGTAAAGAAAGCCAAGTTTGCCTTGTAATCCAAGGGCTCCCAAAGACAAAGCTTAAAAACAGATGTAAAGACCACAGAAGTTATGATAACATTTCTAATAAAGGTTTATTCCATGTTCTGCTAGACTAATGGAATAATAACATTCTGTTTATCTTGATTTTCAGTATTGTGTCAGTATACAAATTCATGTTTGTACATTATTCCAGACATAGTTCATAATGCCTAGTGGCACAAGAGTGACCACAGTGATGATTTTGAACATTGTTTGGCCTGTGCCAAACCTCTGTAAAGGGCAGTTCAATGTCTCCTAACCCTGCCTGGCTCCCAGGATATGCAGTGGTTTGGAGCAGCTTGAATAGTGCTTGACAGAGTATCTTGGCAGTGCTTGATGGGCTCCTCAGCTTGAGATGTTCTGGCTCTGCTGACCCCTGAATATGTCTCTCGGGCTGAGTTTCTCTGACTCCACAGGAAGTGTGTTTGAGGAGCAAAGAGCTCATTGAGCAAATCACTTCTACATACGATTGAATTCCAGATGTTCTCAGTTTCTGGCAGCAGGGCCTCCCCTGCTAGTGAAATACACATCTCCAAAGAAACCTAATGACATGCACAGCTCTCCTGTTACCTTTAGGGACCGGTATGGCTCTTATTGTAGTGGCAACCCCAATCACAATGTGACTACCTGTTTTTATGAACAAAAGTGATGTGGCTTATAGTTATGGACTCAATGGCCCACATTCATCTCCTCTTTACCATCTTTTACAAATATTCCAGGAGGAACTGTTTTGAGCTCCCAGGGAGACGACATTCTGCGCAAAGACTGCAAGTTCCTGCTGGTGGAGAAGGAGAAGGCACCTGCAAAGGAGATGGAGCTCTTGGTCATGACAAAGGACACTGGCAAAGTCTTTAGTGGTTCTAACACTGGGCTTAATGGAGGTAACATCTCTTTTTCAGGACATGTGGTTATTCTGAGGGTAGAGAAATGGAGACTGATCATAAGGGAAGTTCAACATTCAGGGCACTACACCTAACATACACATCATACAGGAACCTCTGACAGGCAGGCAGCTTATAACCCTGCCAGCTGAAACCTGAGTCTTGCTTTTGCATTTGAAGCTCCAGAGTGTGCCTCAGGATATTTCACAAAGCTCAGGAGCTTTGAGAGAAAAAAAAAAAACCTAGATCTGGTTTAGACAGGCAGAGCTATTGTGTCTTCCCAAGAAAAATACACCTTTTCCAATGAAAGAAGATTGGCCTGGTTAACTTCTGGTGTAATGTTTCTAATTATATTTGGTTCCTGTTCAGGATCTTTTGTAGAAGACACCTTGAAGAAAGAGAAGCAGGGATTTTCCTCCTCTTATGCTACAGATACTGGCCTAAAATCAGATGCAAATGGTAAGAATTTGTTCCCATGGAAATGCAATACAACTTTCTCCTTCTGCCTCCATTACTATCTTTCCCTTTCAAGCCCACACTCTAAACTTTATCCTGCACAGAAAGACTGGTAAAATCTCTTTTACTGTTGTTAAAACAGGAGGGCTGAAATCCATGCCAAAAAGGGACAAAGAAACTTATGCAGGTAAGTGATGCCACTCAGACTTTCATTGGAAGAAGCACCAAAGCACAAAACACAAAAAAGCAATTGTTCTTGAGGCACATGAGTGGTCTCTGAGCAATGAATCAGAGGGAGGGAATGTTCAGGAGGCTACCAGAGAAATGGGTACCAGTGATTTGATTGTACATAAGTGGACAGTTGGGTTATTTTTTCATGGCTAGAGAAAATCACATAGCTGACAGTCCAGCTGCATCCTGCTACTGGGACAGATTTATGGAGAAGAGAGGGCTCAGACAGATCATGCTGGTTATTGCTGTCATTTATGGCTCAGATCTGTACAAAAAATTTACCCCCATGTGATCATGTTTTACTGTTATTTTAACTGCTATTTTAACATGCACTGAGTGTTTTTGTCCCCTGTTTAAATTCCCTTTGGAAATTGTTCCCAGCTTCCAAAGGGACTAGAATTACACTCACCATGTGCACAGAGTGGCATAAAGATTTTTCCACAGCCCTTTGTATAATGGATCAGGATCTGATGTCCTTATTGTAAGAGATTCTTAACTCTGAAGTCAAGGAACTCTTCAGTAACCAGGAGATTCTTCCTTCCCTCTTCCAGAAATACGAAGTGGTGATGCAGGGGGTGCAATTGGATCAGCACCATCCTGGTGTCCCTGTGGTTCCTGCTGTAGCTGGTGGAAATGGCTCCTGGGTTTGCTTCTAACCTGGTTGTTTCTCCTTGGATTGCTTTTTGGACTGATTGCTCTGGGTAAGAAATAACTGAGGCAAAAATGTTGAATGGTATAGAATGACAAAGGGTTTAAGCTGGGAACAAGCCCAAGCACCAGAGATACCAAGCCAGAGAACTGAGTAAAACATTTAGCTTAATGGTGACTTGCTACTGAGGTATTATAAATGGACAGAAAGAACAGATAAGGAATACAATCTTTTTTGAGGAGTTATATAGTGTTGGGGTGAGTAGGATAGGAAAGCTCTTGAGATCTGAGTCTACTGCTCCAAGACTGACAGATTCCAAAGCTGTCATTTAAATTCCAGATATCCCTTCTGGGAGAAAAAAAAAAAAAGATGCAAAGAATTCTGCAAAACTCAGTGGCCATAGCCACATGACACAGTGTTGCCATGTTCCTGTGATAGCATGAGATATTTCAGGCATGCATATCTGGGAGCATGTTCCCTAGCATTTTCCTTTAATCTTCCAGCTGAAGAAGTGAGAAAGCTGAAATCTCGTGTGGAAGACCTGGAAAAAATCAATGGTGGCCTCCTGGCAATTAACCAAGGAAATTCAAAAATAGAAAAGGATGTTTCAAGAGTAGACTTTCTTCATGGTAACTCACCCTCCTTGACCTTTCCATATGAAAATGAAGAGTCAGTCTGGTTGATGGTGAAGAGCAGACTGAATAAGGAAATAGAACGAGGTGAGCAGAGTCAGAAAATGAATACTTTATACCTTATACCTTATTTCTCATGCTACTTTTGTTAGCAAGGGAAAGGTGATTTACTTTTATTTAGTGCATGATGGAAAAAGATGAACAACAGAGGAGCCAACATTCTCCCATCTTTACAAATTTCATGTATTTGTGATAACAAATTTACGGCGGAAACTCACAAAACCATACTGTGCTGCCTGTAGCCTCAAATCCAAGTAGCTGGATCCTTGTTCTTGAAATAAGTATTTACTCTGCTGTATAATGAACTCTAACGGCCCCTTCACTTCCCGTTACAGGCTACTTCCGAGGGGAGAGAGGAGAACGTGGTGAGAAAGGTACAGCCATATAGTTCTTCTCTTCCCCTGTCCAGCTCCTTGGCTCTGGCAATACACAATTTTGTGGTGGTTGTTGCTTCAAGGGGCAATTAGCAATGAGAAAGATGAAGATGATTTATACTTGAACAAAAAGAATCAGAATTGTTTCGATTGAAAAAGACCTTGAAGATTATGGAGTCCAACCATAAGTGTAATCACTGTCCATGTCCATCACTAAAGCAGCTTCCTAAGGGCCACATCTACATGTCTTTTCAATCTCTTCAGTGACAACTCTTCCCCCTGGACAGCCTGTTCCAATTCCCCATAACCCCTTTGGTGAAGAAATTTTTCCTAATATCCAACCTAAACCTCTCTGGTGTAGCTTGAGGCCATTTCTTCTTGTCCTATCACTTGTTATGTGGGAGAAGTGGCTGACCCCCAGCTCACTGTCCTCCTTTCGGGCAGTTGTAGAGAGCAATAAGGTCCCCCCAGAGTCTTCTCTGCTCCAGACTAAACACCCCCTGCTCCCTCAGCCACTCCACACAGGATTTGTGTTCCAGACCCTTCACCAGCTCTGTTGCTCTTCTCTGGACTTACTTCAGTACCTCAAGACCTTGTAGTGAGGGATCAGAACTGGATACAGCAGTGAGGTGCAGCCTCACCAGTGCTGAGTGCAGGGGGACAATCACTGTCCTGCTCCTGCCACTTTGCCGTGTAAGCTGTAGAGACCCTGATCCCACACAGAACAATACAGGAGGCTCAGTCTTGTATTGTGCCAGTGTAAAAGGCCAGACTGTGTCTGGTCTTGTACTATTCCAGTGTGAAGTGTCCTGTTTGGCCATAATTCCTATGTATTTAATTAAAAGTGGGAAAGCAACTAGAGGACAAAATTAATGAGTAATCATAGGATGTCTCTTGATTCAACTTTTTTTTCCACTTTTCTCAGGTGACATGGGAATACAAGGTCCCAAAGGTAAGTTTGGAGTTACCTGCTTTCTCAGGAAGATTGGTAGCCTGTTGTAGGGCCTGGGCAGCAAATGGTTTTTTCTTACTCCAGAATTTTGAGAAGCTGATGCTAGTTATCTGTTAGTTCAGATAGTGTTGTGAAGGTTGGGGTTTTTCCTCTCGTTTTCTGGTCAAAGAAAATTTTAGAGTTCATAGTAGAAGAGATAACACATCTCACTTTGAATCTAGATGCTCCTTTTGCCTGGATGAAAGTAATTCCTGAAGCCAGGCTCTATGTGTTTTAATCACAAAGTGCTACAGTACCCAGAGGATTTTGCATGGTGTGAATGATGCAATTATTTGCATAAATACAAGGGAGACAATTGCTGGAGACACTGGAACTTGTAAATATTCCAGGAACATAAACTTCTTTTTATGAGGGTGAGGGTTAGCCAAAGGGACAAAAAGAGAGGACTTATTCTCTACTGACTGTCTTTTTGTTTCTGTCTACAGGTGATCGAGGACTTCCTGGTGCTCCAGGTGAGCTATAGTTCAATTCCTCTTTGAGGGAGGACATGTACTTACATTACTGTGGGCAAGAACAAATTTTGCACTTTCTTGAAAAATTCCTTGAACTTAGCTCAAGGTGGTTCTCTGAAGAGTCAATATTTAGTATAGAATAAGTCACTTGATTAATATCTTGAGCTACAGACACAGCTCAGAGACTTGGTTACAAGCAAAGCCTTTGCCAGACTTCCCGTTAGTTGAACATGCTGAATTTAGGTTTGTTGAAGATTCTGGTCTAGCACTGAAAGACTCCTACAGATGCATAAGTACTTGGTTCAGATTTCTTGTGCTTTTATATGTATTGTGTTCTTCTAAAGAGACCAAGTACCCACCTTATGAGTAATATATTCTTTACCCCATAGAATTAATCTCTCCAGGCTTGAGGTTCCCCTACATTGAATGTTATTCTTTTATGGTACATAGTCAAGGACTTTACTGAATGTTTACTGTGTTTTCTTTCCAGGCATTCCTGGTCCAATTGGGCATGCAGGACCAGAAGGACCAAAAGGCCAGAAGGGAAGCATGGGTGAGCATCTCTGTCAGTGCTGTGAGTCATTCACAACTGACCGGCACATGGCATGGGAATACAGACACCTGGCTGGTGTGAGCATTGCCTTTCCCAGTGGAGCTGGCCATGGATCCTTTTGTCCAAGGCCTCCCTCCCATAGACACCTGGTTTTACAAGGCATTTCTCTCCTGTAGGTGAGCCTGGCATGGAAGGTCCCATGGGACAAAGAGGTAGAGAAGGGATGCCAGGGCCTCGAGGGGAGCCAGGACCACCTGGATTTGGAGAAAAAGGAGACAGAGGTGGGAACCAAGTGTCTTGTTGGATAAACCAGAGATCGACAAAAGCAAGAGTTTGGTCCTGATTAATAGAACACCTCAGTGATAAAATTTTATTTCACTGTTCAAATCCAGATTTCATATCTATACATTTCCCAGCACAGATTAATATTGCTTAAAGGATTTTTTTTTGGCAGACTTATAATGGGTAAATAAGGATTACTTTGGTTTCCCAGATTTTACAGTCAAGTTTGAGTCTGACAGAACCAAAATCACTTCACTACTAAGGTTATCTTCTTCCCTGTTATCCAGATCATCAAAGCTGGGGAATTCATCTTGCTAAAGCCCAGTGAGCTCATATTCTTTTCTTGGACAATGCATATCTATTTGGGTGTTTTGAACTGATGAGCAGATTATTCATGACACTTACCAGAGAAAGAATAACAATAGATGGAATAATGGGAAAATGGGATCATGGCTGTATTCTACTATGTCTATTCTTGTTCTTATTTTGCAGGTGCTGTTGGCGAGCCAGGTCCTCCAGGGCCACCTGGACCCCCAGGTTCTACTGGCCTAAAAGGTAAATGTGAAGATGAGAGAGAGCACCTAACAGAGAGGTTAGGAGTAAATGGGCACCCCAGCTGTCCCGTTTCACTTGTGTTTCTCTGCAGTAACTAGAAAAGTGAACTGATGGTCTGAAGCACGTATCCCAGCATCTCAGCTGAGATGGATGGCTTGGGTCTCTTTACTTAAGTGAAAAGCATTTCCTTAATGTCACAAGGACTAAGTTCTCTAAATTTGTTGTCCTGGTTTTGAGCATGCCAGTAATGCAAATCTTTCTAATGGCTGGAGAAATTCCAATCCACTAAACACTTGTTGGGTTGTGGATGCTGATGGGCAAACTGAAAGAAATTTGATCATTTTGTAATTGTGGTGTTACTAAAATAAAATCCATGTTCCTTACAGGCCTGATGGGTTCTCCAGGCCCACAAGGTCCTCCAGGTGAGTGCTGCATTCCTTTTTCCTTTGCTGTGGCATCTAGAGACTGAGGAGAACAAAAACAGAGTGACAGCTTCTCATAGTTTTTCTGAGTGAGTGGGATGAATGAAAACCACCCATATAATTTTTCTGCAGGTCCTCCCGGCCTACAAGGATTTAGAGGTGAAGCAGGACTTCCAGGTGCTAAAGGTAACTTTCTCTTCCCCCGGCAATTAAAGCACTAGTTGAAGTGCTTTTCTAGCACTGCTCTGAGCAGCAGACATGGTCTGACTGTCACATTTTGTTTCTATGGGCAAAGAAAAGCATAAGACTGAAGAAAGTGAGGCAACCCAAAACTTAGTCAGTGATTGCTAGCAAATATTGAGAAATGCAGGAGACATAGAGGTAATAGAGCAGTCTAAGAGAGTAAAAAGGGATGGATGGAGCTGTGTTACAGGAAAAGAATTTCCACTTTGAGTTTGTCTGGTAACACAGAATCTGTATTTCCCTTATGATTTGTTGTGATGCATTAAATGCCTTTTCCTTATTATTTGTTATTTCTATTGTTCAATCATCCACATATCTTTCAGGTGAAAAAGGAGCCAGTGGACCCCCTGGACCCAAAGGTATGTTGACCAATTAGGTATATTTTGTGGTTATTTTCTTTAGATTCCTTTAGATATGGATGCTGTCCATGGGTTTTACCGTTATCCATCTTTGGCTTTTTCTTCTGTACTCTTGTCAGAAAGCAGACTTTATTTTCTCTGATGGAAACATTTTACAATGAAGCAATCTCACAGAATGTGTCCCTTTTTTGTACCACAGGTGATCAGGGTGAGAAGGGTGCTCGTGGAATGACAGGTCAGTGGATTGAAATACTGGAGTAACAGCCAACCTAATAAAAGTATAGCCCAGCCAATCCCAGTTAGCTTTTTGAAACACTATAATGATGTTACAGATTATAGGAGTTTTATTTATTTTATAATTTTTGCACCAAAATTATAAACAAATGGATCCCATTCTGGATTCCAGTAATCTTGGTAACAATCTGTGTATTTAGCTTTAGGAAAATCCTCTCTGTATTCACATCACTTGAGCATTTCTAATGCCCGGAGACAGTCATGAATCATGAGGCCTGAACATCCTGTCAATGCTGGTTTTTGGTTGCAAAGCAGCAAATATTGCTGACAGAATTGTCCCAGAGTTGTTTGATTCATTTTAATACTATTTTGATACAGGTGAACAAGGCTCAAGAGGAATACCTGGACCTCCAGGAGAGCCCGGGGCTAAAGGACCTGTAGGTGGGTACCAAAAAGCAGCTGTATTTATATGTGAGGCAATGTCATTGCCACCCAGATTGTGTTTCTGTGAGCACAAAGAAACAACACGGGAGTGGAATCATGCTTGTTGTGATCCTAGGTCTTTCCTTTGGACAGCTGTGATTAGTCTGTACACTCAGAAAAAAATGTCCTACCGTTAAGTTTTGAATGAATGCTTCCTGGACCTTCAGTAACTGCAGCCAAGGTTTCTCTCAAATTCAATGTGATGGAAAGCCACTCTTAGACTTAGGGCTGTGCTCCACTTTGGAGGAAGAGAGGATAACTGTGGTACTGTTTCAGAAGTCCCTGACAATCTCTTTCTTTGGACAGGACAAGCTGGTCGTGATGGACAGCCAGGTGAAAAAGGTAAGAGCTTCCTTTGAGGTAGAAGCGCAGGTACATTCCGAATTTACAGGAGGCTGATTTCTAAAAGGGGTGGGAGAAGGATGGCAGCAGATTTGTGTTCTGGGATCTTCTGTCTCAGAACTGTAGAGTCAGCCTGTAAACATGGAACTGAGACATATAATGGAGCAGGCTGTAAACTTGTGACAGAGTTACCTCTCTACAGAACTCTTCTGTCATTGATGTTCCCCTCCCAGGCACTGATGCTGGAGGTGGCCACTTGGCTGTGAGAATACAATAAGTAGAAAGTGCTGCAGGAATGCTGTATTTGAATGGATTGGTAGATTGTATGTCAGTGACTTCTGTCTCATTAGTGGTGATTGTGTCCCTAGGTGAACCAGGTCTTATGGGAATGCCAGGTGCCAGAGGCCCTCCAGGACCCACTGGAGATGCTGGAGAGCCAGGTAAGAGCATACAGAGAACAACAATGCTTTTTGCTCAGTCAGGAACACAGATGTATGTGTCAATTTCCAGTCTTAATTTGAATTTAAGTCTGGCAGAGGATCTCTGTATTCTTAAGGTGATAATAAAAGGAAAATACATAGAGAATCTAGACCCTTTATGATCCCAAAATTGCCCACAGTGCAAACGTCAGCTGCTGTGAGCTGATTTACATACCAGTTGCTAAGCCAGTTTCCACCACTTGAGAATTGTGTGCTATAATTTCACAAAAATGTAATATTTTTCTCCCTGTCTATCCTTTTCCCACATGAATTTTTTTTAGAGATCTTAACAGTTTTTGCCTTTTTCTAACAGGTCTTACAGGACCTCAAGGACCGCCAGGTAGGCTTTTCCATATTCCAATGTATCAATGGCACACTTTGATATGGGTTCAAAAAACCCTTGTAATTTTCCATCTGTGGTGCTCAGAGTTTCCAAAGTGATATCCCAAGGTTTCCACATCTCCTTTGGCTTTTGAGACAGGTTTTGTGCAAGATGTTTGACTTTTGAGCAGTACAAGGCTGTTGTTGAAATTTTGCCTTTCCCCAAAACATAACATTTCCCTATGTATCATTGAAAAGTCCTTCTAATCAGCAGCTGAAACAGAAGGGAGAGGATGTAGCAATAGAGATGTAAACAGAGGATGTGACATCTCTAAGCAGAGGTAGTTATGGGGGGACAGTTCATTAGGGAATTCATCCAGGAGCCTCAGGACAGGTAGCAGTACCTAGAAGAAGCTATAGGTAAATCTGTGAAGCAGTGCCATCAGCCAGGGAACAGTGGGACCAGGGAAGCTCAGGGACACAACCAGCTCAGTCTGTTCCTCCATTTGCTTATAAAGTCCTCAGGGACTTGCTTATAAAGACTGAAAACTGGGGTCTTGAGTAAGGAGCTCCTTCTATAAACCCCCAAGTGAAACAGCTGGGGTACCTGAAAAACACATGGCAAACAATATTTGCACTAACTATTTTTAATTATTGATCTACCTCATATCAGGACTTCCAGGCAACCCAGGCCGACCAGGGGCTAAAGGTGAGTTTTATTTCTTCTCTAATGCTCATTTTCTCTCTAGGGATTTCATTTTAGCAGGGATTAGCTGCTCCACTGAGCAGTCCCTGGATCAACAGTGGCATCTAGTGGCTTTGGGAAGGGAAGGTTTGAGAAGCACGCTAGGCAGAGCTTCCCTGAGGGTACACGGAGGGCAGTGAGGGCATCTGCTGAGGGAGTTGGCATGACAGCTCTCCTCTGAGCAAACCTTTGAAGCCCGGTTCTGCCCTGAGCATAAGATGCCTGGTGACTGCAGTGGAAGCTGTGTGCCTACCTCGGATAAATCAAGCTATTGCCTATGCTGGCAGATGTAGTGCTTGGAAATCTGATCAGAGGGCATCTCTGGATTAGCACATCACTCTTGCTTCTCCCCTGACCTTCTAGTGCTGTGACTTCTCAGACAAGAGATCAAGAGCAGAAAGAGCAGAAACTACATGCTCAATAGTACAATGTTATTGAGCTTATTATAGCTCTTACCTGCCCCCCTAAAGAGAAGCTCAACTTTTGTACCTTTGTTTTCCTAGGAGAACCTGGAGCTCCAGGAAAAGTCGTAAGTGCAGGTATGTAGTGCTGTGAGGGGTCACACTTCTGATTTAGAAGGGTTTTCTCTGGGTTTTTTTTGTGCCTCCTCAATTCATCTTGACTGTGTGTCAGACCTGTACTGGGGCTCCCTGTGCTGGGAGACTAGGTATGCCATAGATGTGGTATTCCTTAAGCACAGATTTGTGTACATTCACTGGATGTGTGAATATAAGTGTCTGTGTGCAAATCTATGTGTTTGTTTTTCAGAGGGTTCATCAACTATTACTCTGCCAGGCCCACCAGGTCCTCCAGGCCCACCTGGCCCCACTGGTCCCCCAGGTGTTCCAGGTGAGTACTGATGAGTACAAAATAGTGATAGGTCAAATCCAGGGACTGGAATCAAGCTCTTTCACTGCTCAGGAAGGTCACCTTGTGTCTAATCCCTTTCCCAGCACTGTTGCTGAAATTAGGAAGCGCTTGTTTTTCAGTCTCAGCTTTGAGCTCAAGGCAGCAGAACTCCCACTCATGCATCTGTAAATCTTTCTCAAACACACACACTGGCTGTGCATGAGCTTGGGCCTCAGATTCCTCTGTCCCAGACAGACACTGCCCTCCAGCATGCTGGTGTCAGGCAGCAGAGTTCCTGAGCCCTGATTCTCATGGCACTTCTGTGCCTGGAGCTAGTCCTGGAGCTGGTTTGGCAGAGACAGTCTCAGTTTGCAGTATGGAATGTGAGATGAGGGTTAGGCCTTTTGTATTCCTTTTCTGTTGTGGTCAGTGCCATTCTGGTTATTACCCCACTCCAAGAGGCACCAAGCATTTTAATTGCCAGGTGATGGAAATTCAAGTAATATATGGGGCATTAATGAATTCATACCCCATAGCAATTCCATTTAGTTGTGTAGAAAAATGCATTTTTTATAGTCCTAGTTCTTATAAAAGTAATATTTATTATTTTCTGCTATTGTAAAATACAGCTAATGAATTTTGTGGTTTTTTCCTTTGAAACTAGGTCCTGTTGGACCAGCTGGTCTCCCTGGACAGCAAGGTACCATTTTCCTTCAGCTTTGATTATGCTTCTTAAGAAAAGGAATTCATTAGTTTTTCTTTGTTTCTAATTCTCTAAGCCCTTGGCACATTCCCTCTCCCTTTTGTTCGCTGATTTCTTCCTTTCAGTTCATTTTGTTTCATTATTTGGATTAATTAATCTAGTAAAGAATTTTTAAAATTTTTTGTTTTCCTGGGGAAGAAGGAGGGTGGTAAGAGGGTGATAAGAGCCAGTGTAATGTGGATGTTGCAAATGTCTTTTTTTTTCTTGTGCTATTTTTCCTGAAGGCTGGTATTTCTAAAGCACTTCTCAAGTGCTATTGCCTTTCTGTGACAGGGGATATAGCCCAGCTGGATACCTCCTGCCATTTTGAAAGGCACCAGAACAAGCTAGAGTCAAATTGGGATTAATGTCGCTGTGAAGGAACTGCCAGTTGGGCAGACATCTCTTAGAAAGGGCCTGAACAGAACTGACCCCTAAGAACCTTTCTTAGCTGGTTTTCTGTGATCCTGTTAGAGCAAACTGAGCATAATTTTAACATTTGAATGCAGTGTCCCTCAGATCTGGGGACTGAGTTCATGCTCCCAGTTCTCATAAGAAAAGTCTGAACCTCTTGTAAGAGTAGGTACAAAATGTTACCCTCTCTCAGTTACATAACTCCCTTTCTCTTTTGCCTTTTTTTTTTTTTTTTCCTGGAAAAAGGTCCACGGGGTGAGAAAGGATCCCCAGGTGAAGCTGTGGTAGAAACCATCAGAACAGAAGTCTCATCATTAGCATCTCAAAGTAAGTGGCCCTGCCTTTCCACTCCTTTGTCTGGACATTTGACAGAGCTTCAAGGCCTGCTCGAAGCTACCAGGAGATGCCTCTCTTTCTTATCAATATGACATGGGGCAAGTGTGTGTGTGTGTAGAGGTGTGTCAGCTACCTCTTCTTCCCTCCTCATCTGTGTATCCCAAAGTCCTTTCAAAAGGAAGCAGATAGTATCAGGCTCACTCCATAGAGAGGGAAGCTGAGGAATGGTGCCTGGTAAGCAGCCACTACCAGGGGAGATACAGAGCTGAGAGCTTCCAGCCACTGAGTTCACACAGGGCAGTTCCCTGTGCAATATGAGCATGGAGCCCTCTGTAAAATGAGAACCAGTTTGGAAAGGCATGTTAATCTAAGCAACAGAGTAATTTCTCTTCAAATTAAAGGATTAATTCACAGGTGAGTCAATAAATAAAACAAATAAAATAAAGAAAGAATAATAAAACTAATTTAAATAAATAAACAATAATAAACCTTATAATAAATTTTATGATTAAAAATGTAATATTTTGTAAAAATTTTTAAATTTTAAAATGAAAATAAGTGGAGCAGAACAGAATGGTTTAGCAACATCCCAAGAAGAGTGCTTGCTCTGTGCAACACTAGATGTGTGATGCACTTAGAGTTGCTATTCCTAGGATCTGGGACCTCTGCAAGTTTGCAGCAAGGTAGAAGAGGGCATAAAATTATAAATGATCCTTACATGATCACCATCTGAATGAAGCCGTGTAGATTCAGACCATGCTTCAGTACTGTCCAGTTCCCCATTCAGGCACCCTGGATCACAGCATTACTGAACTTTGAGCTTGTGCCTCAGCCTGGAGTTGAGGGTACATCACACAGTACAATCATGACAACACAGTGCAGCTACTTGTAAAACAACATCTGTGTTATGTTCTCCTCCCAAAACTTGCATCTTTTAAAGAATCTTTCCTCTCCTTGAAGTTCTTTCCTTCCTTCTTTAGCCTTTAAGTCCTTTGCTCTTTCTCTCAACAACCATCTCTCCTTCCTGTTTCCAGTATCCTGCTCAGAGCTATATTTTGCTTCAAGTCCTAACCAAACATATCTCTCCTCTCCTTCCTCTACTTCATCTTGGGTCACCCAGGTCCCATCTTAGTCCACCTTTGATTGTAAGAGCTTCTGGCAGCAATATATTGACAGTTTCCATAGCAGCAGTCACTCCATAGCAACGATTTTCCCTTGTTTGTGTTTTTCTTGTGTTCAGTGCTGGGAGATTTACATGGGCGAGCAGGACCCCCAGGTCCCCCTGGACCACCAGGTATGTAACATACATAGCTCAGTGCCTAAGCAAGGAATGCTGACACAACATGGCACGTTTATGGGCCATGCAGTTTGCTGAGTAAATGTTCCCTAATATCCCTGTTTCTTTTGTCATCAGGTGAATCTGTACAGGGACCTCCTGGACCTCGTGGTCCCCCAGGTAAGAGCTTGTTCCTTTGAAACCCAACTGGAAAGTGGGAGATTTTTTCCAAGGCCTAGGGTTGGAAGCAGAATGTCACACAGTGAGTTTCTGCCAACACAATTTCAGTGCAGCAAGATGCTGCCCAACAAAGAACATTTGCTTTTGCAGAGGGTTCTAGCCAGAGTATTAATTAGTAAAAGCCATATTTTTTGGGAAGACACTCAGAGTTTTCAAAGTTGCCAAAGGAAGTAACTGCATTCAATTCCATATTTACTTCTTGCTTGTCCAGCCTTAACTTTCAGCTGTGGACATATGGGGAGGTTCTTATCATAAGGAACATATCCCCATGCCCCATCCTGTAACACAGATTTCCCTTTCTCAGCCAGAACAGGGAAGGTGTGGCAGGACGTGACAGGAACAGAACCCCACTCCTTGCTCTCTGCTCAGTAGGAAAAGGGAGCAGGTTAGGTGTGTGATGGGATAAGCACCCAGTACCACAAAGAAAGGAGTTTCTCTGTCCTTTTCTGCTGTGGTGGCAAATGATAGTGAAAAGTACTACCAGGGATAGATGTGTGAAGGAAACTGTGATAAGGGCCTGCACTGGGAAATACTCAAGCTAAGGCCATGGCTGGAGATGTAGCAGCTCTTATGTTCATTTACTTACACTGCTGAGGCTGATCCTTCCTGAAGCCTTTCTGTTCTGTGTCCTTTTTGCCTAGGAGAAGGATTGCCAGGACCTCCAGGCCCACCAGGGAGACCAGGATCATCCATGTCCACCTCAGGTAGGTTCTTGCCACTCATTCTATCACCTGGTCCTGGGAATGTCCTGTTGGGGTTCCAGAGAGCACATATATAGCTAGGACCAAGTAGAGCCAGAGAAACCTTGTTTCGTGTTCTGTTGAATGTCATGAAGAAATCTCTTTGTTTGAATTGCAGAAGCATTCTTCACAGGCCCACCAGGTCCACCAGGACCACCAGGCCCCAAGGGAGACCAAGGTGGGTATATTGTGCTGCCTCACCAAAGTGCTAGAGGGATCTCAGCACCTTAGACTGAAAAGAAGGAGGGGCTTAGGAGCAGAAAATCCTGCCTTTCTCTGTAAGAAAGCAAGCACAGTTGTCATTAAGTAGGACTGCTGTAAAGCAAGTCAGTCTTTGTCAAAGAAATTTATTTGCCTCCAGTACTGGTGTCAAGGCAGTATTCAGAACCCAACTTTGCAAGCCCATTATATTCAAGAACATTCAGAACTTTAGAACTTGTCATTGAAGGGGACAGCCTTTTTGCAAAATGCACTGTGGACTAAGTCAGTGCAAGGAGGTAGCCCTGTGAAGTGTAGCTCAGCTGTCAAGAAAACATGGGTCTGCGCCCTTTACCCATTTCTCCCCTACAAACTGAAGGCCAAGATGATATGCTGCAGTGTGGGCTGGGATGTTGCTGATGAGAATAAAGCAAATCCTAACACAGTTCCTCTGCTTCCCTGTTCACAGGTGAACGAGGTCCACGGGGATTCACAGGTAAGGAGATATTAGTGGGTTTCAGGGTAGGTAAGGAGGTATTAGTGGGTTTCAGGGTAGCTTGCCTGGGTGTATGAGTGCTCCTTCATTTCTGTGTCTCATGCAGGAGAACCGGGTGATCCTGGCCTGTCAGCATTCTCCTCCCACGGTTAGTTTGTGCCCCCTTTCCTCCTTTGAATTCATCATCCCTGGGCTGAAATCAGGCCAAAATCCTGCTCTATTCATTCTAACTTAATTTTACTGGAGCTAGGATTTTGTCTACATACTTTATTCCTGTGAATCTCTTGACTCTCTTTCTGCACCTGGCAGGTGAAAGAGTCACCATACAGGGACCCCCTGGCCCACCTGGCCCACCAGGACCAAAAGGTGAAGTTAAAAATCTTCTTTCTTTTATTGGGGGTGGCCTCACACATCCAAGCATGGTTGAGACTAAAGGATGGAACAACCCAGTCCTTTGGGAACTGGAGCTGTGCTCACCCCTGCCTTTTCAGGCAAAGCAGGACCACAGCAATAGAATTGGCACTTGACGAAGTCACAGAAGGCTCAGGAAAGCTGCCATGGTGTCTTCCTTATGCTCTTTCCCAACAAACTAGCATTTCAAGACACTCATTGCAAGGGCTGGGTAATTGCTTCTCTGTAGCTCAACTGTTTCACATGACCAAGTATGCAACATGCAGTCACACCCATTTCAAGTGTCTGTCTCACTCACTCTTTTCCAGGTGATGCAGGTGTCCCAGGTGCACCTGGCATCCCAGGAGCATCTCGAGGTAAGAGACGAGACCATCGTTGCTCTGATATTAAGAATGCTGATATCCTGGTGGAGGCTTTTAAAAATCTCGTTTGACTTCTACCAGTGTGGGTGCCAACGTAATGCTGATGGAATTTGTGTTCAAAACCTTTTTTTGCACAGCTTGCCTTAAATCAGAAAATTTAATAATTGAGAGGGGCTTTTTTTCCAACTTACTGATAATTGTTTAAGCCAGAATTTTGCCTCTGTGTGGATAGGTTCTTGAACTGGTGCTGCCCAGGCTGACTGGGATTGGGAGCAGCAGGGCAAAGATGTTAGAGTTATGAGCCTGAGCTCTATGATCTCCATCTATATTCAGCACAGCACTGCACTCTAGTGCACAAACCCACCAGGTCTGTCTGCACCATGCCAGGATTGTCTCTGGACTCAGCCCTGCACAGGCTGAATTATAAGATGATTAATTAATTGAAGCCATTATACTGCCAAATAGCCCATGCTCAGACTGTGTTTAAAGATGCAGGAGGAGCCCCTTCATATTCAATTTCCAAAGGTCTTTCCAGGCCTGTGGGAAGGGCTTAATGCAAATACACTTCACTATCACTTAGTCTAATGCAACTGTACCAAAAACACTCCTTCTCCTTACAATGCTTTCTGTAGGTGGCTCCAGACAAATTCAGGGACCCCCAGGACCTCCTGGGCCACCTGGTCCTCCAGGCCCAAGTGGAGGTTCATCTCAGGAGATTCAGCAGTATGTGACTGACTACCTGAAGAGTGAGTATAATGAGATTTTTGCTGTGGGTCAGCAGTTTCATGCCTATCTCTGTTTTGCTCCCTAGGGCTTGTCCCTCTTCTATTAGAAATAACAGCCCTGCTACTCTGGGCTTATTTCTTCTGAATACTGTGAGGTGCTGTTGTCCACTGTGGCCTCTGTAGAACTCTCCTTCTGTTGTCCCATTCTTTGCCAGAGGAAGAGGGTCTGGTAATTGTGCATATGGTCAGTCTTCCCTCTTAGTGATGTGGGCATATCTTGGGCTTTCTACGTAGGTGACAACGTCAGACATTATTTCACTGGTGCCCAAGGCCCACCAGGCCCTCCAGGCCCACCTGGACTTATCACCACTGCAGATGGGATTACCTTGGATTATGAAGAGCTGGCTACCCGTGTCATGAGCTATATGACAAGTAAGCACCATGTTGGTAAACTCTGCACTGAATCATGCCCTCAGCTGAGCTTGTGCAGCACCTAGGAGGTGAGAACCAGAGGAGAAACAAGTCTTTCAATAGCAGCACTCCAACCAGGTAATTCATCTTCAGCAGTCTAGGCCCAGGACTCTACATAGCTGAGGTGTCCTCTGAGCCTTGTCCTTTTTTAATGGTTAGATTAATTAGCAGTTGCTGCTGTTTAAAAAGTCTTATATTAAACATTTATTGTTAGACTCTTTGACACCCCGAAGACCCCAAACAGAGATGGCTTTATTTAGTATATGTTGTCTCAAGTACTTGAGGGTTGTCTGCTTCTAAAGTAGATGAAGTCGCCAGGGCTTTTGGAAGTAGCCTGGAATCTCCATCAGAAATGCACAGAGCACACAGCTGTGTATGATGACCAGGATGTATGAGAGAGCAGCTGTTTCATAGTTGGGGGCATGAGAAGCCTATTCTACCAGTTAATTAATTCATCATTCCTGTGTTCCTTCCTGACACCCCCCTCACCTTCTGTCTCATACCAGCTCATGTAAAACCTTTTCATTCCCACAGGCTCTTCAGGTCGCTATGAGTCATTTTCTAGCTCCGTATCCACTACATCCATTTTGTACCAAGAACTTCTGGACCTGCTGCAAAGTAAGTGACCCTCAAAGGAAACATGGGATTGAGGGTAAAGCATCCTGGAGATCTCCCTTTCCTTTCCAGTCTCCAGTCTGCGACTGGAGTTACCTGCAGCTGCTTCAGGGTGTTTTACTTTCCAGCTCCCCCACTCTCAGTGTTCCCCCCATAGCCTTGATATGTTGTTCTTAAGGTGAAGGGGATCTACAACTCTGTATTCTTTTCTATATATACTGTTACTGTGGGCTGACAGGTAAATCTCCAGGATGTCATTTGGCTGGCCAGCACTGTGATCCAAATAGCTCCAAAGTGACACAAAGCTCAGCATGGTCTTTCCCAGCTGAGTTGCTTTTCATTGCCTTTACCCAAAAAGTTGTCCAAGGTGTCCTGAAAAAGCAGAGAAAAAAAAAACAAACCTTAAGCAATCCAAATTCTCATCCTCCTCATACCCTTATATAGGAGGTTCCCAGCCTTGTCACAAATGTTTCTGGTACCATATACAGGACAATTCACTCAGAAAAGAGGGAGGAAAGGAGCTTTGCATCCATAGATTTTGATAGTTTCCCTGGTGGAGGGGGCTCAGCTCACAGGCTGGGAACTCCTCACACTTGGTGTCTGTGCAGCAGCTGGACAGCCTTAAAAGATGCTTTTCTTCATTTCTAGGAGAAGAAATTCGTCAGTATCTCATTGGACCTCAGGGCCCACCGGGACCTCCTGGGCCAGGGGGAGATGGAATGTCTCTGTCACTGGATTATGATGAGCTGACCAGGAGGTTTATCAGCTACTTGTCAAGTAATGGTTTTATCAGTGTGTGTTTCCCTCTGTTCCTTTGGGAGCCCAGCACAAAACTCATGCTGTCTAGTCAGTAGAAATTATTCCAGTGTTAATTGTGTGAATCCCTGTGTACAGAGATCTCCTCACAGGGACTGTGAGACTTGGAAGAGAACAAAGATACCCTGTAGCTAAGATACCACTGACAGACTAGTAATGAATCCTTTTTTTTGTTAAAATTGAGCTTAGGAACAAAATTTCATCTTAGCCATCTTAGAAGTCACATTAACACCTATAAGTACCTTTCTAACCTTTAACTCTGTGGTCAAGATATATTTTCTTGTACAACAGTTTGTCTGTGCCCACTTTGTGTCAAGGCAGCTCAGGCAACAAACTCTTAGAAGTTAGTTGAAACAATTTCTATGTCTCTGCTTCATTTTTCCATCTGTAAGGGGGTGATATGGCATACAAGAGCTGCTTGACAGAGAGTACTCTTTGAGCATCCCAGCAGCAGTGCTAAAATACCTAATCCTGGTAGCTGCAACTGTCTGCTTAAAAACAGCCTGGTCCACGCTCAGTTTTTCTGAACTGCTCTTTGAGACCAGATGTTACTAGTGAGTGCTCCTAAGATGGAGGGAATTTTCAGTAGGAAACTGCAGTATAATGGCAGAACTCCAATGGCTCAGGCAGGACAGCTGCCTTTTGTCAGCAGGGACATTTCATTAACACAAATCACAAAGTGCAGAGTGTTGCCCTAGAGCTGCAGACACGGGGAGAGCAGCACATGCATCAGCCTGTGAGTTGCAGCTGAGCTGCAAGTCCAGGGGTGCCCCCACCATGTAACGGGTTCATGAGTTGCAGAGCTTTTGCCAGGAGTAGAAGCCTGATGCCTGCCTGTCTGTGGATGTCCTTGGGATTGTCAGGGCAAAGTCACAAGTCCAGAACAAGGTTTGAGCTCTGGTTCCTGGCACAGCCTGCTGATGGGGACACTCCACTCTGCAGGAGCCCCTCCTGCATTGTCTGCGAACAAGCCTTGTGGCCTGTCTGCTTACACTGTAACAGCATGTTCTTATAACGTGAATCTGTTTGATTTTGCAGGTTCTGGGATGAGCATTGGATTGCCTGGACCACCTGGGCCTCCAGGGTCACCCGGTATATCTTACAGTGACCTGACAGCTTACCTGCGAAGTAAGCCAACCTCTTCACTCCCTGCCATGGGGCTCTACATTCCCCCAGGATTATTTTTACTGTCTCAGTCACAGAATTTCCCTTTTGCCTGTGATCATGAATGACCCTCAGATGGTCCTTTGTCCTTAGCAGCACTGCAGGCCTCTGCTGGCACCTGCACACTCCACGGGGGGCTGCAGCTGCATCACCATGCTCCTGTGAGGAGCAACAGCAGTGGTGCTGTCTTGGAGATGGGCATGAAGGAGCCCTTTGTTGTATCCAAACTCTGCAGCATAAAGGCATCATTTCTTACGCCTCTTTAAAAGTATATTTTAAAAATAAGGACTTTACTCTCTTTGGAATTACCTGACTGTCCAATGTGATATCTAAATGCAGGGAAGTGGGGTGCACCAAGAAGGCTGCACCAAGAGGTACTAGAGAGAAAGCAAAAACTTCTGCTTGGCTGTGTCTGGCATAACCTGTATTGTCAAGGAACATTCATTAGGGTTGTGGCTGTTTGGGTGACTTCTCTTCTTTCTCTTCTTCCCTTGTGTCTTACAGACTCTGAATTCAGTGGCATTGTTGGGCCCCCTGGTCCTGCAGGCCCTCCAGGACCTCCAGGGATCCCTGGATCACCAGGCACCTCTCTGGAGGACATCTCTGCCTACCTTCAAAGTAAAGCATTTGTGTTTCTCACAGCTGCCAGGGTGATTTTGTTTTTAGCTGCTGGGGGGACTTGAGGCTGAGATTTAGCTTAGCAGGGATGTGACTGTCCACTGGAAACAAAGTCACTATAAAGAAAATAATTTTGTCAGTGTTGTCTATAAAGGGATGGAAATTGGGGTTAGAGCTTCTAAACTTTCAAGATCCCCAAATATGTGAAATTTCCTTATCCTCTCATTGATGGAAAATAATTCTTTCTCTCTCTCAAGATGTTGGATACTCTTCCCTTTCTGGAGTTCGGGGCCCACCTGGCCCTCCTGGCCCTCCAGGACCACCAGGTTTCTCTGGAACTGGCATCCTATCCTATGCTGACATCACCAACAATGACGAGTTCAGGAGTGAGCTGATCCAGTACCTGAAGAGTAAGGGAACACCATCCATCCTTCCTACACACATCCCAAGACATGCTTTACCTTATGTAGGTGACTGGCTCTGCCACAGCTGAGACATTCCTGTAGGAGCCTTCCCTGAACTGGGGCTACAGCAACACCTTCCCTCTACAGACAGGTCTACAGGAGTTTGCTGCACCCTGTAGGCTTTTCTCCTCTCAGTCCAACTGCCAGCCAAAGTCTGTGTTGTGAGACAAAAGGGACAAGCACTGGGTAGTTACAGTTGGCCTGTGCTGAACATGGGTCCCTAGAAGGTCACCAGCAGAGTTTTAGCAAGGGAAAAGCATTTTCTTTGGCAAACACCCGCCCACAGAGCCATGGATAATGGAGGGGTTGGAAGGCAGCACTGAGCTGGCTGTGAAACACCAATGGTCTAAGCTCATCCTGGCAAGTCGTCCAGGGCAGGCTTTGAAAAACATCTCAGTTTTGGCAAACTGGTCACAGAAGGGCTCTTTTGGCAGAAGTGCTGAAATTGGCCTGAGGCGTGCAGCCTTCTGAAAAATCATTGGGCATTTTCCTAAGATCAGGCGCACAAAATTGTTGGAGAGATGGGGAGGAGGGTGTCTTGCCATCTGTGAAATACAATGTTGACAGTGCATGCTGCCTGAGAAATGGCACTGGATGAGGGTCACTGATAATTGGGTTGGTGGGATGGATTGGTGGGACAGAACTTCACACTCCAGTCTTCATTCAGGTGGTAGCACAGGATCTCTGTCAAGCCCAGTGTCCCTGAAGTTCCCCCCTTGTATTTTGTAGGTGATGAAGTTCGAAGCTACATCTCAGGACCCCCTGGGCCCCCTGGGCCACCGGGACCCAAGGGAGACAGTGGCTTTGTGTCTGGGTCTATGTCTTCATCATACCAAGGCTTACGAGCTTCTGAGCACTTGCATGGAGGATCCCTTGGTGCTGAGGGCTCCCACGGGGGCTCACTGGGCACAGGCAGCTCGTATGGCAGCTCCATGAGCAGCAGATCCTCTTACCATGCCTCCATGGGCAGCGATGGCGCTTACGATGCCTCCATGGGCACAGACAGGTCCTTCGATGGGCTGCTGACAGAGGAGGAATCACTCAGATCAGCAGGGTCGAGCAGATCCTACAGCAACTCCTTCACTGGTTCCCTGGATTACAACGAGCTGGCACTCCGTGTGTCAGAGAGCCTACAGAGTGAGTGCAAAGCCTGCTCATCCTGACCCTCCCTATCCCAGCCTCCAACTCCAAACCCCCTGTGCCTGGACATGCTGTTCACTTCCCTCTCCTTCCTGCTGCCTGTATGTCTCCCTTACACCTTCTGCCTCAGCATGCAGCCACAGCTCTCCCAGAGCTCCTTTCAAATGACATCTTTCATTCCACAGGCCGAGGTATTCTCCAGGACCTGATGTCTTACACAGCACAGGGACCTGCAGGTCCCCCAGGCCCTCCTGGTCCCCCTGGCATCAGCAAGGTCTTTGCATCCTATGGCAATATCACTGCAGACCTCATGGACTTCTTTAGAAGTGAGTAACATTTTGGCTTGGCATTTCTAGCTCATGCATATTAGATCTCCTCAACCTCTCACAAGCCTATTGATCTTCTCACACTGCAAAAGTCAAGGTGCAGAGTTGAAGGTGGATGGTGTTTACATCTTCCTTTCTTCCTTGCTGGGGAGGTGCAGTCTTATCATTAGGAAGGATATCAGTTTTTCCCACTGTTGGTAGGAAACTTATCCCAAACCCTGAAGGCCTCTGTGCTTACAAGCTCTGTGGCCCATTTTAATATGGCTAGGCTGGCACACATACAGAAACATGAGCCAGCTGCTTGCTCTGCTCTCAGATTCTCCACCCTGAGCATGAGCCAGCTCCAGCCCTAGTGACAGCTAGGACATCCAGAGAGAGTGACAGAGCAGTGCTGGTGAAATGACATCACAGCCTTCCTCGGAACTTTGTTAGGACCAAAACCCTGTTTAAAAACCTTGCTGCCAGTCTCCAGTCTGACTCACAGCTTCTCTGAGTGGGCAGTGGTTTCTCCCATTCATTCACTCTCTCCTTCATCTCCCTCTCCAGCACATGGTGCCATCCAGGGGCCACCCGGTGAAAAGGGAGAGAGGGGTTATCCTGGACCCAAAGGTAAGGCTTGCCATCCTTTCCCTCTTCAGCCTTGTGATGCTCAGGAAGAAGCACTGTGACCACAGAGGCCAGCACTGCTCGAGGTCACACCCTCTCACAGTGAAGGTGGCACCTTCAGGATCTCAGCCAAAACACTGTCCTGACTTGGTGTCCCTTCCCGTGGCCTGTTCCTGTCTGTGGATCACTTGTGCTCGAGGGCAAACTTGGTCTTCTCATTCATTCAGGTGACCCTGGGCCAATGGGCCCACCAGGACGACACGGGCAAAGGGGACCAAAAGGAGAGAAGGGAGAGAAAGGTAGGAATGCCTGCCATCCCCAGGAGAGCAGGATTTGACTGCCACAAGTGGCATCAGCCCATCCCTGGGAATAGCTGGAAAACACAGCCTGAGTTTTTTTGTTTGGATCTTTTGTCTTTCTACATGGTCTTTTCAACTAACCCTCCTTTTGATTTTTCTGGTCCCCAGGTGAACAACTGTATGTTGGCAGAAGAAAAAGAAGAACTGTTGGTGTTTAAAAAAAGAGGTAGCTCAGTTCTGCACAGGGCAGCGTTCCCAGCAGCCTGAGTCTTCACTGCCTTAATGCTAAAACATCCTCACTGCTCAGCTGACCCCTTAGAGTTGATAGCTCAGATCTGAATGTCACCTGTGTGTGTCCGGCATGGCCCTAGTGTGGGTGTTTGCTTCTGTTACTGATGTTTGGCTTTGTGCCCCTGAGCTCTCAGGCTGATGTCCTTGGGTTGACAAGGGCTTCCTGTCTCACCTAGTCCAGGCTTCTTGTACTGCTCCCAGATATACAAAAACCTGGGGTTTTCAACAACTAGCCAACTATATAGGGAAAATAAAACAGTCCCATCCCCACCAAATGCATGGTTTGTCAGGGATCAGATGCAGCCCACAAGGTCCTGTGAAAAACCCTGGACTTGCACCACCCTGGGATTGCCTCTCCACAAGCTCTGCCAACTCCAAGTGGAGCCCATTTACAGCAGCACAGCGAGACAGGACATATGGGGCCGAACCAAAGCACTTTTAAACATAATTTGTTTCTCTTTTGAAAATATTTTTGTATTTTTTTCTGGTTTTTTAAACACTGGTGAAAAATAATCTTTAATGTAAACAGCTCAATTAAAGTGTGTTTTTAACCCCATCCCTGAACTACTGAGGATGGCCATTCCATGCTTTCAGGTTGTTGTGGGGCAGGGTGAGGCACCTGAGATGGGTCTGAGGTACAATGGTAAATACAATGGCACAGCATTAAATACTTTTATACTCCATTATTTTGAACATTGTAAATCATCCCCTTCACTCAAACACTTGTACAAACCACTTGTATTTCATGCAAGTTTTCCATCAACAAAACTGAGGCGATCTCAGCAAACTGTGATTTTATTGTATTTACAGCAGAATTATTACAATATTCTACAGAAAGCCATGAAATCAAATTACTTTGAAAAATAAGACAAAAAACTCTCAAAACTGTTGTATGGCTGCTACTGCAAGTTCACTTCCACAAGCTGTACACAAGCTGTACAGAGACCCTTAGCCAATTATTCATCCATCTCATGATTTTTGGTTGCTTTTTGTAAGGCAAAAATAACTTGGTTTGCAGTTAACACAAAACATTCAACAAACTGCTGGGAGAACACGAGGCCAGCAGTGCCTCAGGTGCGTTTTGTCACAGGATGCTCCTGCTCTGCTTGGCTTCCTAGAGAAAATGGGATGACAGCTCATTAGATACCACTCCATGTCCCTTCCTGGTTTCTGTTCTTTCCACCATTTTAGGACTGATTCTCATTACCAAAGAAGCTTTACCACCTAATTGTGAGTGTGGAAGACTTTGTTAAATCAGGGTAACCCTAGACTCAGCCACTTCCAAGCACACAAGCCCTTTCTCATGGGTTGGGCATGAGCATGTTTTTGCTTAAGGGGTTTTCCTCTGGCACCACTGGCGGCCCATACACCAGATATGCAAAGGAGCTACAGGAAACAAAGCATGTGAGGACTGAGCTGGAGAAAGGGGATGCAGAACAAGTAAAAGTTCTGTAAAAGAAACACTGTAATTTCCTTTGTCTTCTACCCTTCTTCCTTTGTCTTCTACCCTTCATCTGTTCTCATCTTTGGCAAGACTGAGAAATGATGGGGCATCCTGGCCTTGGCTTGCCTGTGAACAAGGAAGGTTAATTCTCTTTAATCCTACTTAAACTGCTGTGAAGATGGCAGAAGTAGCCTGGGAATGGGAAATCTGCACGGACACATCGATGGAAGGAAGTTTCAGAGATCCAGAAGAACAGATTGTGACGTAAAATGACCAGAGTATAAATGCTAGCGTAGAACTTCCCGACACAACAATGGTCCTCAACACTCCACCCTGCCTTTGCCTCCAACAACCAGAGAGTCACTGTCCTCAAACTTGCCCCTCTTCCCCACAGAGGAACCAAGAAGTAGATCAGTGGAAGCAATTAGCACCAAGCTTAATTGTACATTTCAGTTTTCAGCAATGTATTTCTGAGGTCCTGGGAGCTACAGCTGTACAACAGCTCTGAAAATCAGGCTGCCTAAAAGTGGACTCAAGTGCCTGAATTTAAACCACCTATTTGAATCTTTCCTATACCAAAGCAAGCTTGAAATACTTGCAAGGCAGATACTATTTCAATTGGAGAATTAACTTAAACTTCCTATGTGATACTACTGCCACAAAAGAGATGGTGTGACAAAAGCGATTTCATTGCTGCTTTGCTTAGCTCTCAGTTAAGGTGCTATGTTTCCAATTTTTAAGGAAAATAATTCAGTAGAATAGAGTTATCATAAAGTCCTCTGTGACAGAAGAATAATTTCTTTAACTATGTGATATGTCAGATATTGATATTGAATGCAATTTTAAAAGAATATTAGCTTAAAAGATTTCCTGGAAAAAAGGATGCAGCTCAGACTGAATATCAGTTTTTAATGTGATGTGAAAAATCACTCTGAGTGAATGCTGATGGTCAGGACAGTGCAGCCCTGCCAGCAGGGAATCTGAATTCAGATGCCAATTCAAATAAAGGTTTTCCTTCAGAAGGTGTTTATAAATCAGGACTTAAATAATCAATCATATGAATAACAACTCCAGTTATCATATCTTTACATGCTGTATATAGTTCTCATGTATACACCAGCGACAGCAGAGTGCTTGAAGAAGGAAAATGTGTTTTATGGGGATCAGAGAGGATCAAATGCTGGAGTATTTCTTCTTCATAAAATAAGCAGCAAAGTTCCTCTGGAACTTCAGAAAATCAAGAGCTGCCACAGCCCATTTTCCCCTGGGGTGGTAACCCCTCCTCAGCCAGAATCTCCTAAAAACAGGTAGCAGGTGCACCCAAAGACCTTTAGCCCCCGATCTCCCTGGATGCCTTAAGCAGTGCAAAATGCACTTTCAGAGCTTGGGAAGCACATGGTGTGAGGCTGAGGCCCTGCAGGCAGGTTTTCCATGAGGATCAGTTGTAAATACAGCAGGACAACCCACACACAGTACTGCAATCCAGGGATTTATTGCCTTTTCTCCTTTTCCCGTGAACAGAAATTATAATGTAGTAAAACACAATGGTGAGCAATTACTGATTTTGTGGTCAGCTTTGGAGGAGCATGTGGGGACAATGAGATCTGCCAAATAGTAAGAATTTTAAGTACATTGTTTAGGCTGCAGAAAACACAACTCGCCACCTGGAGATGGAGCTGCTAACATTCATTAGGGAGGTGACGTGTGATAGTACCAAGATTGGATTTCGTATCTCAGGAGATGTCTTTTAGGCCTATGTGAGGCCTAAATTTAATTTGAATTGAATTTTCTGACACTGATACAATATTGTAACACCTCTCTCACATTCTGCAACACTTAAACCCAATTTTATCAGTCTAGATGTACAAGTACCCATGCTAGTTCTTGTTATCACTCAGTAAACATATTTTTGTGCTTGGTATCAATTCTCAGCCCAGTTCACAAGGCTGCAAGTGCTTCACAGGGCTCCCCACCTGGAGACCTGAGCAAGGCTTCCATCACCACATCTGATCCCTCCTTCATCCCAGAGCTCAGTTACAGTTATTTGTGCAATTTACAATGAGATCAGATTGCATGGCCTGTGTGAAAAGGATCTTCAAATAAAAGATGTAAGAGATTCAGACAGAGGTAAACAGAATGCCAATACATATTAGTAATGTATCACTGAAACCACCAAAAATGTAAGGAGAAGATTATTAACATTTCCCTGTGAGGATTTACTGGGGATGAACGTTGACATAATCCAGAAGAGGAAATCTGCCTGCGCTGCCTACTCCCCAGGTAAAGCACTGAGCCTACTTCATACGAAATGGCAAACAAATTCTGTTAAATAGAGATAAAGATTATTTAATGTTATCTTAGTAACAGTCAATTTATGAAGGTGGAGCTTAAAAAGCAAAAGGTCTTCAAAGACTTGTTTCCCCCTACTAAACAAACAATTCAAAAAACTTTGCATTTAGCAACAAAGAACATTCTAGAGATACGGTGTGTGAATTTACAACAGTACACAATACTCATTTAAAATAATAAAATGCCAGAAATTAAGGCTAGCTATTAAAGTAATTATGCTATCAAAAAGTTACAGAATTTAAATTAAAACATGCATTTTCCAATTTTCTTTTTACTGTGCTGTAAATTAAGTGTCTTCATTGAGAAGATACTGGTTCAATGTCCAAGGATTTCAGCATCCAAGGTTTCAACCACAGCTGATTAAAGTCCTATGTTAATTTCTGAGTTCACTACCATGCAGCAACACTGTTCCCATGAAATGAACGCCACGGAATGGGCACCAGTTGCATGGTCAAAGCAAGCAAACAAATGGGTGCAGTTGATGCCCAAAGGTAACAGAGAAAGTCAGGCCTCAAAAGACGGAAAGCAAATACTATTTTACAAATGGAGCCCCAACATACCCAAGTACAGCTTGTAACACTGTCTTGATATGACTCAACCCCTACCCAGCAAAAGGAGTGACTTAATACAGCTGTATTTCCCTACCCCCTATAGGAGACATAGTTCAGATTTCCCACTACAGATCAATCAGGCAAATAACTTATGGTACATCTAGGAACTCAAAAAATAAAAACTGCCTATGTTAGTAGGTGGCAACACAAAAGCAAAACACCCAGTTTCATAAAGGAGTTTGTCTGTATATTTAACTTAAATCTTTCCTTAAAATAAAATGACTTAAAAAAAAAAAAAAAAAGGAATCTAACACTTCTAGTGAAATCAGACTTTAACCATGGTTATTTATAAATATGACCATCCACCTCTACTTCTGTGATGCAGTTCAAATGAACAGGCTTTGGTAAGAACAGAACAATGGCTCTACCCATTCCAGGTACAGTTAGAGAAACCACGTGCATTTTGCACACTGTTTTCTAAGAAATACATTCTACAGTTTTTCAATTTGTAGAACTAACCACCTGTATGTAATAGCTAAAGAAAATAATAAACTGTGCATTTTAAAATTAGCATTTCTTTTCACCTCTACATATTTTAGTGCAAAATATTTTAGGGTGAGGATTTACAACAAAAATGGCAGTAGCAGCAAGAAATCTTGTTTTGTACAGTAACAGCAATGCTAAGGAGTTTTGTGTTTTTAAATGACAAAACAGTATCCTGTTGGCA